CCCCGTCTCCACTCTGTTAGGATTTCCCATGGCACATTTCCCAGGTCCTCCTCTTTCCTCCAGCCTGTCCTCCCTGACCTCCCTTCCCGTTTACTGACTCTTTGTCCTCAAAAGAGCTGTTTCTAGGTCAAGGATCTCCCTCCAGGCCCACGGGTGTGCGCTGCCCCAGGTTAAGGACAAACCCTCCAATGTGAGGGGTAACAAGATAAACCAGATCTTCACCCCAGAAAGGGGGGGAAATGGATGCGGGCCCAGTACTGGCAGGTGGGGCCGCCGTCTTTCTGGGACTCTTGGTCTCACTGGAGAAACGGCTGGGGCCTGAGGACACAGGCGCTCTATCCCGGAGGGCCACCCCGCAAGCTCCAGCCCAGCTGCCAGGTTTCCCTGGATACAGCCTGGTCTCCGAGGATTTATTTTTGCATATGGTTTGGGAGAATATCTGTTGCTGGAATAACAACAACCTTTTTCCCCTTCTCCTTCCCTCCAATAGGCAGATTTTATAAACCAGAGCAGCTGCCTGAAGGATTCCAAGGGAAAATTCTGCACAGTTTCTAAGCAGGGTGACAGTTCCCCTCCACAGAAAATTGCTTTTATTAAGTTTTTTTTTTTTAATCTTTTTTTCTGTAAGGTTTTCCACCTATCGGTCATCAGGCAGTACCTTGGGCCTGTGGGCATTTTTGTTTTTCCCCGGTTTGCCTGGAACTCGTGATTACATCGAAACCACAACAGGCTTGCCCAACACAGAGGCAAAGTTAAACGGTTGAAAAGTGAGCCAATCACATCGAGTGGGCAGAAGAAATCCCAAGTAATTTGGGGAGATGTTCCCGCCTCAAAGAGAGGGAACATAACTCCCCACTCCTTAAGTGGGCTACCCATAATAATGTCCTTCCAAAGAGGACAGTATGCAAAGGGGCCAGAGAGAGCAACTTTGCTGTGGAGAAACCTGACAAATACTATCTCCATAATCAAGGTCAACATCAACAGAGATAAATCATGTTGATAGCATGTACCCTTGATGTGATGTGATGAGAATGGCCTTTTATCTCCATGATCTTCCTACCAAAACCCATAACTCCAGTTGAACCATGAGAAACACATCAGACTAACCCCACTTGAGGGACAGTCTACAAAATACCTGACCAGCACTCCATCAAAAACAAGGAAAGTCTGAGGAACTATCTCGGCCAAGAGGAGCCTAAGGAGACACAATGGCTAAAAGTAGAAGTACTGTGGTATCCTGGATAGAATCCTGGAACAGAAAAAGGACGTTAGATAAAAACAAATAAAATCCAAATGAACTATGGAGTTTAGTTAATAGTAATAGACCAATGTTAGTTCCTTGGTTGTGAAAAGGTACCATAGTAACATCAGATGTGAACAACAGGAGAAACTGAGTCACGGTAGATGTTACTATCTTCACAACTTTTCTGTAAATGTAAAACTATTCTAAAGTAAAAATTTATTTTTTGAAGTGGGTCTCATGTTTGGGTTTCAGGCAATCCGAAGACCCAGTTCTCTTTGGTTCCCTCTTTTTTTGCCAGCATTAAGGATCTGAACCACTGATTTAATGGTCTCCCAGCCCCTAGCTCCCAATTTCATTTTCATGGGAACTATCATCATTTTCAAGCCTGGGGAAAAGTTCCATTTCCTCACCCCTGCACACCCAGTGAGCATGGCACAGGACTTGGCCCATAGTAGATGCTAAGTCGATATCTGTCCAATGAATGAAGCTTGAGAAGGACCTGTCCAGCAAGGGAATCCAGGCAGAAAGCCAAGCCCTTCCCTCCCCAGGGCAAGAAGTCAGTACCTGCTAGTCTCCATTCAGAGAGAAAAGACTTTGAACATCTGGTTACAAAGGGGTAGGGAACTTCTCTTGACATGCTTTGGAGAGGAAGCACACAAGATTTACTTAGGATTACATTTATTGGGGTCTTTGGGGTGCTGATGGAGTGAATGAGAGGCAAGCTGACTCCTCTACTCCCCCACCCTGTGGTGATGCCTTCAGTGCGCCTCGCCTCCGGGGTTAGCTCTGGGCGGCCAAAAACCATCTGCAAAGAAGCTTCGTGCAGCAAGAACTGTTTGCTAGGTCTTGAAAGTCCATTGCCAGGCCTATAGTAAGCGCTTCACATCTGCTCATATTGATTGCTACCATTTATTATGCACCAGGCCCCGTGCTGGGGAGGACGAAGGGGGTTCCGTTTAATTGTCTGTGCAGTAGGCATTGTTGTCATCCCCATTTTACAGAAGAGCAAACAGAGGCCCAAAGAGCTTGAGAAACTGGCCCTGTCTCACAACTAGAAAGCATAGGAGAGAGGTTTCCCCATCCAAGTCATCTAAGTCCCAAACCCGTGCCTCTTACTCTCACACCAGCCACCCTAATGTCTGCCCCTTCTCCCGAACCCTCAGGCCCCGAGAATCTGCTGCCTGCTGCCTGCAGAGGCACCCTGAGCCCATGCCTCCCTCTGTGGCCTCCATACGGCAGTAATTTTCAAGTCTCTCTCTTTTAAAACTTCATTTGCCCATTTCCCCCTTCGAGGTGCTTTTTGATATTTCTGCAGGCCGTCAGCCTGGACAGGCCACAGAAGCAGAATCCAAAGAGATGGATGCTTATTACAAGCATTCAATTAGTGGAGTTTGAATAATGCAGCCCTGGGTGCTCCGTCCATGCATGGAGGCTGAGAGACACCCTCCCCCACCTCGGGCTTTTAATGGCCTTTTCCATATTTATTGCTATCTAACTGGATATCTTGTACTTGGCATAATCTGGTATCTGCCCAGTCCCCACAGTGCCTTCTCAACACATTTTTACCCCAATGTTAGCGTGTACTTAAAAGAGTTACATTCCCTTTTGCTGAATGGAATCCCCGGAAAGGCAGGGCTCTCTTTCCAGGGAGAGAGAGGATCCTGCCTTGGCTGACAGGGTGGCCTCCAGCAGGAATATTTTAATACATCACGTATTAAAATGAACCTGGATCCTTGGCCAAAGGCTCCCACACTCCCCCCTTCCCAGCAGAGGGCAGCTCTAGGTCTTAGCTGATCACATCCAAGCCCTGCCCTCCCTTGACCCCTTACACAGTTGTGTAGAATAGTGGGAGAGCCCCGCTTCAAAAACGACAAACCAACAAAAGGATCTGTAGCACTAAAAGACAATGCTGCAGCTGGGACTGGAGCCTGGGTCTGGGGTCAGATGGCTCTGCATCTCCATCCTGGAGCTTGGGCTCTGGGTTCGAGTCCTACCCAAGCAACTTACCAGCTGAGTGACCTCATACAAGTCATTTATGTCTCGGAGCCCTGGCTTCTCCTGTACAATCAGGATAATAATGATGCCTACTTCATAGGGCTGCTGTGAGTGGGGCATACAGTAAAGCTTAATGAATGTGGGTATGGTATGGTTCTGTTAGCCCCTCTGGTGTGTCAATTTCCTCACCTACTAAAGAAAGTTCATGGCGGTGGGTTTCCAGGGTTGCTGGGTAGATTATGTGAGAGGATGGAAGGGCAGTGCTTTGATCAGGTAAGAGGAAATTACTCCTGGGTGCAGACACGTCTGTGCTTTCTGAAAGAATCTTTCCATATGGCTGTCACACGTCTTGGCCTATTGATGGTGCACAGAGGTGGGCCCTGCCCCTAACCCTCTTTAAGGCATACCTCAGCCTTCTCACAGGAAAAGCACAGGGGGGTTGCTGGGCTCCGTAGTGGCGAAAGGCCCATCAGCTCTGAAACACAGGGATTCTCTGGGGTCAGCAGGGAGAAGAGCCAGGTTCAGGGACACAGTCACATGCCTAGGAAAATCAAGCTCGCATCCCTAAATCATCCTGCTGGCATTGCCAGCTCCAGCTTGCCTGCCATTCCTAATAATGACTGATGGGATGATGAGCTCTCTGCTGGGTCCTCCTGAGCTCTGGGCCTCCACTGCCTGGGAAGGGGGATGAGACATCACCCCTCCC